TTCCAATGACCAGTCGCCAAGGCATATCTGATGATGAGCCGCCAATCCTTTTAGGGCATATCAGACCCTTGATGGGCATATTTGCAGTCTCCACCTTGATGAAGCCCTTGATACATGGGTTCTAGGAGTATAGTTCGAACCACCCATGAGATGTTAAGCCCATAATATTATGCTTGGAGTCGAGTTGTCGCCAAGCCATCAGGCTAAGTTTGGTAGCCGGTGATCTTTAAAATAGGTCAATGCTAGTCCGTCCTCCATGTGATTGGTATCGTAGGTTGATGATGCCTTCATTTGATATGTCTTCAAGGTTTCACGAAGATCCAACCATGATAAGGTCAAGTTTGATAAAGGTTGACAGCACGGCTCATACATCTCTTGCCAACTGGTAGACCTTTCTCCTTACCCATATAACTCAAGAGCGATTATCTATAGTGTATTTGGACTTGTGATGATCCAAGACACCACTGTTTGCCATTGGCAATCTAGGTCCATTGTTGAAATCCAAAAAGCTTTTTCGTCATCGTTGTTAATGTCAAAAATAGGGTCTTGATGTGTTCTGGGAGAGAACAAATGATGGCTGCTATTCCAACTCTCGACATTAAGAGGCCCTTTGGTGGGGAAACCATTGCTAGAGGAGGTCCTAGATGGAAGCCCGCAAATACCCAACATAGGCCAAAGGACTGGATAAGAAGTGACCAGATTATTTAGGCCACCCTATAATGAAGCAGCACGACTATTTCTGGCCGCTCTTTGCAAAGTATACACCTGTTGGGCTTTTGTCTTTTTTGTTCTTTTATTACAAATATAAAAAGATTGCTCCATAGATACATATGGAAAGGCCCCTATTTGTAGATGGTCAATGGTTAGCAACATGTCCAAACTGGCCAAACATAGAAAGACCGAAGATTTGTGTGGAGATGGAATGTCCGACACCTTCGGAAAGTTGCCGGATTTTCAGAGGTCTGTATGAGCACTCGGTGGAGAGACTTGACCAAGAAGTTCCCTTTCCATTTGGAATCTATGAGATGGTATCTTTGCCATTGTTAGGCAGGTGATATGTAGGCTGTCTCACAGAGAAGACATATCATTGACTTCACTCTCTTAGATACCTTCTAAATTCAGGGGACCAAATCTTCTTACGATCAAGTCCTTCAATATAATCAGTAATGGGAGCCTGTCAATACACAGCAATCTGAGCTAGATTTGGGAATCGCATAGCCAGAGACTGTTCCTAACAATGAATCTGTCCAGAAACACCATTCCATTGCCCGTCTTAAAGCTGATTTTGGTGATGATCTGAACTCTTAACCATATTTAGATCTTTCCAAGCCCCCTGTTGCCATTTATGATAACATCTGAGATTTCACAAACCATCCAAACTTATATGTCATATGTTTGAGATATGACTAGCCTCCAGAGGTAGTCATCGGGTCTTCCTAAATAGCCACCGCCTAAATAGCCACCGCCATTTCCCCAAAACTTTTGAGTTAATTACCTCATCTTCCTGATGCCTGGGCCCCCAAGGTTTTGGGTTTGAGGACAGATTCCCATTTAACTAGATGCAAGTTGTGCACTTCTTCTACCCCTCCATAGGAAATCTTTCTGAATGTGTTCAATTTTGTGCATCACCGATCCTGGCATTGCAAATAATGACTAGAATAGACAGGCAGGTTCAAGAGTGTAGCTTTTATCAGGGTGATGCGGCTCCCAATGGATGGATACAAAGTCTCCCAAGAAGAAAGCCTCCTTTTGAAACATTTGGACCACTTTATCCCTTACCCAAAATGGTGTTTTTCTTCATGTTTACAACTAAGCCAGATGCATATTCAAGCATCTAAGAAAGAGCCATAAGGATCAAACTTGCTGTACTGTAGAATCACAAAAAAGCAGGGTCTCATACCTGTATGGTAAATGAATGACAAGGAAACCACAACAAGCCTTCGACATAAATGTTGGTGACTACTTTACTGAACAGATCGGCCATTATCAAAAAGAAAAATAGTGTCGGTGGATTGCCTTGTTAAGTGCCAGGTGTGCAAGGAAAGAAGCCTCCCAATATATGTTGAGTATGATAGAGAATGAGGCTGTGATTAAGCATTCCAAGATACATCACAATCATTGAGCAAAATCCGATGTTGTTGTGCACTTTCCAGTCCACGCTCGTATGCTTTTCCAACGTCTTTGCATGTGATACTCAAGGTTTTTGAATTGTGGTAAGCAACAATGCATTCATGAGTATCAAAGCTCCAAGTAAGATCTGCTCCCCTTAATGAAAGACCTTTGTGGACTTGGATGACATCTACATACCCTATTTTCGAGGCCATAACCTTTGCCAAAATGTCCATGGCATGCTTTAGGAGACTCATTGGAGAAATGTCCAAATCTACTCTGTGCCATCAACTTTGGAATAAGGCCAACAAATGTGTATTTCATGTCCTGTGACCTCTTCCTCTCCTATAGAATTCAGTGAATACCATCATGGTGTCAGACCAGTAGAGGTCCCAAAATTCTTGAAAGACTTCATGCGGAATCCATCTGGGCTGGGTGCTTTGTCTTGAGCAAGTTCCATAGCTGCTCTCTAACTTCTTTCACATCAAATGACCATTCCAGCCATGAGGCGTTGTCCCGAGTCATTTTCTTCAATGATATCAAACTTAGGTCATGGAGGAGGTTCTGATCTGAAAAACAATCCAAAGAAGGCTATAATTCCTTTTGTTAGGGTATCTTCTCCTTTGGTCACACATTGTTTTACTTGGATATGGTGGATCTAGTTGTTGCATCGCCTACTACTTCCATCTTTGGAAAAATCTGGTGTACAGATCTACTTTATGAATCCATTGAACTGCGATATCAATGAAACAGCAAACAACCTTCTGTTTGAGAATATGATGAGAATTCGCTTTGGCCTTGGTGCTTCTATATCTTTCTTTCTTGCACACATCTCCAGTCTCCTCGAATCGGTCAATATCAGAGACAGTATAGACATGTGCTTGCTTCTTGCTTATGAGATGCCTAAAGACATGCTGATTCCAGAGTTCAAATCTGAAGATTTGGGACAGGATAAAATTTGGCAGGTGTTTAGAAAAAAAATGGGCATTGTCTGTGGTTTTGGGAAGGGCCAGGACCAACTCAGAGGGTATCCAGATTAGGTCTCCAAAAAGCTACCCAATTTAGATAGAGTGGGGGAATGAAAATGATATCTCCAGGTGAACTGGCACCAATGAGGAGTATGTCCATGCGATCATGGTTATTGAAGAACCATGAGAATCCCCGCATGCTGGTATTAATTCAACCTCCCTTGGTTTTGTTGATAGTTAGAAGGAGAACATTGAAAACTCCACCTAGGTACCATGGGAGGCAATAGTCCTCATTGATATGGCCCAGCTCCAGCCAAAATGCCTCTCACAGAACCAGCCCATGGGGCATGCAACAGCAGTGAAAACCCATCTCAGTCCATTGGTGGGATCTTTGACAAGTAGAGAAGTAAAGGAAGTTACAAATTCTCCTGAATGACTAGTGTGTGATCCCAAAGAAGGCATATATACCCAGATCTGCCATTTGCAGAGATGGAGGACTGTTGCTCTGAGCTGCTACCCAGAGGCTCTAACAAAAGAAAGGGAAGGGCCATCCTGCTTGGTTTCTATAACTGCAAGAACTGCTCACCTGTGGGAGTGAAATTTGAGACAGAGCTCTTCTTATCAGGGTGTCTCAGGCCTCCCACATTCTCACATAATCTTCATGTGGTGATTTGAGGATCTTCCAGCGTCCTGGATGTTTGCTTCTGATGTAACTCTATTGTAGTTGATGGTAAAGCTAGATTTTTCAGCTCACGAGCTCCTTGTCCCTTAAATGCAGGGGTTGGGAAATTCTCAGCAATGTCCACAATGTGCCATTCATGTGTGAGGCCCATTGCATTTAGCATGCTTCCAATGTACAGGGTAGCTTGTGCAATGTCTTTTTTCTCCTTGTCATTATTGATGTCAAATATGGCTCTGTACTCCCCATTTTGCATATTATATTCAATCAGCATCTTTCTTCCCTACTGCACCAGAAAGCAAGGCCACCTCTTGGAATTACAGAGAAGTAAACCATAGATAATCACATATCTGCACAACACAAGTTGAAATGAAGCTAACAAACATGCACAAGGACATACACCGATGTGACTTTCTCCCGCCCCTCCCCCCTCCCCTCCCTCCCTCCCTCCCTTCCTCCCTCCTTCCCTCCCAACTTCACACACACGCACAAAATAATATTGTGCATGATTTTTTTTCCCCTAAGGCTATGCATTACACACGGGTTTTTGCATGTATCATTATTTAACCATTGAGTGCAAATCGTTATGCGCAATTCTGTAATGCACATATATTGACCTTTGTTACACTGACAATAAGGATAAGACAAACTGCAATGACTATGGTTCTAAGTTCCAATAGACAAAAATTCTAACTTTCAACTTCAGTTATTGGCAACCCTTTGTGTGAGCAGTTTAGGAAAAGGCACTTGCCAAAGGAGACCAAGAACTAAATCTAACAAATAACAAGAAGCAAATAAAGGGAAAAGGGTAATGAAATTGTATAGCTTAAAGAGTTGGAAAGAAACAAACCACCACTTCAAGTAAACTTCCATGAGGCAGCCTTCTTACTGCATTAGATTCAAGTTCCAATCTTTTGAGTTGCCGCATCAAACCATTATGATGTAATGAAGTCCCAAAAAATTATGATAGAAAGAATTCCCATGGCATACTCGGGCCAGCAATGCACAATTTAAATTAACACTACTGCAAATTATGTGTATTTATCCAGGAAAAATCACTTTCTAGTGTACACCAGAAAAACTGGACACAGAAAAACTGTGAATCAAAAATACATTCATCCGCACAAGAGTACAGATTAATCAATAGAAACCAAAGCGTGCACGTGGCCAAGTTCAACTGATTACAAATAAGCATGTTTCTAAATAGCATGGCCAATTGTTGCTGACGGAAAAACTACGCGTACCTGCATCATCGTCAAATTGCAAGAGATAACATCAATTTTGCCATACGCGAACTATGACAAGAACCCACTACCGAGGTTTTTGGCTTCTCCTTCAGCTGTCAGCACTTAGGTAGTAGTAGTTGTCTTGTCTGAATAAATAGCAACATAAAACCAATAGTTGTCTTGCCTGAATAAATGGTAACATAAAATCAGAGATAAAGAAGCCCCTCATCTCTAATTTGCCAAGTTTTGATTTTTGGTCGATACTCTTCTTTATCTAACTCTGCCATAGCGAGTTCCAAGCCTCGATAAGGGAGGAAGGTTGTGTTAGGTAGGGCAGACAACATAAAACGTTGCCACATCTTTTCATGAATCCAGCCGATCCCAAATAGTTGGGATAAGGCTCAGATGATGATGATGATGATGAACCCTTCTTTATTTCTATAACCTTTTAAACTGTTCTCTTTGTGGCATACACTCCTCAAGAGTCGACCGCAAAATTTGGGTAGATATGCTAATCTTCCCCTGATAGTAATACTTATCAAATAAAATGGAATACCTAAGTGCAGCATGCAGCTCCTCACTCTCAAAACCACAAGATAAAATCTTATCCCACTCATTTGATCTTCCCTCAAAACAAATCCCATGTAGCAGAGAAGCAAAAGTTACAGAATCTGGCGTAAGACCCTTCCCTCCCATTTTATCCCTCAACTTCAAAGCCAAACCAAGCATTTTAGAGTGACAAAGGCAAAGGATAATAGCATTGTAAGCAGCAGTCTTTGTGTCCCAACCCTCTAATTCCATACACATAAAGAAACCAAGAAGAATAGAATTGCGATTCTCCCAGGATACCCTTCCTTCCATGGTCCGTGAAATTGATGTATGGTTAGTGAGCCCATTAATAAGATAATGAAAAGTGGCATCATTAGGCGCACAATTCTTTTCAAGCATTTCTTCGAAGAGAGAGCATGCTTCCTCGATCTCACCCTCCTTGGAATAAGCATCAATGAGGATGCTATAGGTGATGACATTGGGAGCACAGCCACCAGATTGCATCTCTTGAAAGAGGTCGCGAGCACTGTCTAATCTTCTCATTCTGCAAAATCCATTAATAAGCACGGTATATGTAACCACATTTGGTATAGTTTTCTGCTTCATCATATCTCTAAAAACCCTTTGGGCCTCTTCCATGTTGTTACCTTTCACATATCCATCTATTAGAGTGGTGAAGGTAAATTTATCAGGACAAAGACCTTCCCTTACCATGGCATCCATGCACGACTGAGCATCACCCATCATGCCAAATTTACAGTACCCTTTGATCATGGCATTATACCCAACCTGATCAAACTTAATACCCTTTTCACCCATGAATGCAAAAAGCTTCTTTGCCTCATTCAAATCACCTTCTCTGATGTACCCATCAATCAATGTAACATAGACAAAGCCATCAGGAATAACCCCACTTTGGAGCATTTCAATAAGCAGCTTATTAGCAATAGGAAGCATCCGTTTCTTGCATAGACCACTCATCAAAACATTGTATATACCAGCATCTGGAATGACCCCATGTTTCATCATCTTATCTCTAATTGCCATGGCATGACTAACCTCTCCAACTATAACAAGACCATGGATTAGAGAGCCATAGGTGATTAAATCAGGTTTATGGCCTTGAACCAACATATCAGACACTAAATCCAATGCTCTAGCCATGTTTCTCAACTTACAATGGGCATGAACCAGAGGAGTGTAAGTAAATTTATTCGGTTTTAGTCCCCGGCTAATAGCTTCTCTAACTAGATTATCAGCCTCCCCAACCTTCCCTTCCTTGCAAAAACCACTTAACAAAGTATTAAAGGAACTGATATCAGGCTCACAGCCTCTCTCTAGCATAGTTTTGAATGTATTCACGGCTTCTACCATAGCACCAAGCTTGCAATGAGCATCAATAAGTGTATTATATATCACGACATTGATGCAGAGCCCTCTCTCTCTCATCTCAGATAAAAGCTTGTCAGTGGCCTTAAGGTTCCCCTTCTGGCACAAGCCATGAATAATGGCTCCATAAGATTTTACAGTTGGTAAAAAACCCTTCATTTTCATCTCATTGAGAAGCCCAAAGGCACGCTTAATTTCACCTTTTCTGCAATAACCAGAGATTAGTGTGTTGTAGAAAACAATATTAGGAATGCACCCTTCTCCCCACCGATCTTCTATCAATTTCCGACCCTCTTCAACTTTACCTTCACTGCACAAGCCTCTTACCATTATACAAGTACTGTAATTATCAACCACCGCTAGTGAATCCTTTTCTCTCACTGAACTCTCTCCATTTTCTCTCTCTAACATCTCAGAGTAAATCTTTAATGCCATACCCATTTTTCCATTCTTGATAAGAGTATCAAGCAAGGAGTTGCATGCAAAAACCCGAGGAAAAAAACCCAAACTTTTTGCAAATTTGTAGAGATATAGGGCCCTGTCAATGAGACCAGCTCGAGCATGAGAGATAATCAATTCGTTTAAAGCATGAGTGGTTGGTTGCAGGCACTCAGCTTCCATTTCTTCCATTAAAGCCTGAATTTCTTGGAATCGATTCGAGAACGCCAAAGACTTCAGTAGAGCAGAGTAAGACCGAGAATCTGGACGAATGCCACTGTGCTTGGAGACCCAATGAAAGAACTTGAGACCCAAATTGGGGTCTAGAAGGCGATCGATAACCAGAGGAATAACATCTATACTTATCGATTCTTCCCCTGAATGCCTGAAACTCAGAGCACTTTCCCATTCTTTTTGGGTTTTAATAATCTCTGATGTTTCTCTCACCAAAGCAACCAAATGGGTTTCTTTCAAATGTTTAGAATGGTAAGTTGCAAATGAACAAGAGGTGATTTTGAGAGGAAATTTACAGAGAAAAAGATAGCTTCTCGACATGTGACAGGAAAAAAGGGGAGAGAAAAAGAGAAGAACTTTGATGAAGAGGAACGATGATTGCCTTAGGAATGAATAAGAAGTCCATGAATGTGCAGAATGGAAACCAAGTTGGTGAAGAAGAAACCTTCTTCAGCCATTAAACAAAACCAACATGAAATTTTATTAGTAAACAAACACCTCAAGATTTGAGAATGTTTGGGAAATTCAGTTAACAAACAACGATGCTTTCTCTCCCACTATACCTGTGCCGAAGGAGACTTCTATGCTCTCTCTCTCTTCACTCTCTCTCTTGAAAACGGCGTACCATCTCTCTCTCTATGTCCGAGAAACGCCTGCTCTTCTCTCTTCCCTCTCGAAAACGGTTTAGCATCCACCCCCGTCTCGAGGACGAGCTCAGGAAATTATATTATTATTAAATTAAAAAAAAGTTAATCATTGAAGGGGGTGTAGCTCAGATGGTAGAGCGCTCGCTTAGCATGCGAGAGGTACGGGGATCGATACCCTGCATCTCCATTTTGTTTTAGTTTTACTAATAGAAGGCAAATAAAACCCCGCATCTACATTTTGTTTTAGTTTTACTAATAGAAGGCAAATAAAACCCCGCATCTACATTTTGTTTTAGTTTTACTAATAGAAGGCAAATAAAACCCCGCATCTACATTTTGTTTTAGTTTTACTAATAGAAGGCAAAT